ATCATCGGCGTAGTCAAGATCAGTTAGCCGGCGTCCGGGTGCAAACTCAACATCGTCCTCTTCATGTAGGGCCTTGCAGAGGATCCAGTCAATCAGGTAGTTAAACAGAATGGGCCTTGGGATGAGGCAAGACCGCTTATCCCCCCATTTTACTCGGGCACACAATTCGGACTATTGTAGAAGGAAGAAAAATAAGGGTTGATGTCCATGGCACTGATTCCTGCAGACGCCCCCATTTCGCCGGAAGCGAACTTGTTACCAATACGAATTCTCTTTGCAGTTTCCTGTTACTCACTGTATCTTGTAGTTGTTATTGGTGATATCTTTCGGATGCTGAATGACAGTAGATGACCTACCTCGTGAAATGTTAACTGAAATGTTAATATATGCTAGGTTAGGTCATTATCCATGCAATTGTATCGGCTTGCTTATGAATCGCCAAAACATATGTTTACCAAATATACTTTTCAAATAAAATGTTTTATACAAAACAAGAATAAAAATATTCTTCCCTGTACTCGTTTGGTAGCAAGTTACATCTTTTTCAATTTCCTCTCCGAGGAAAGAATGTCTTTCGGTTTTAACCCATTAGCTCTCGGTGATCTCATATGAGATCACTTAAAAATTAAGAGCTTTCGTAATTATCTGTCTGTATAAACGCATATTTAACCTTCATACTATATCTATTAGGTATATTTTTCTGATATCCACATGAGATTTTTAAAAAATTTGGCTCTAAATTAATTTATATACAAGTTTGAGGAACCATAAATGTACTCATCAGAACTATTATGGGAGGTAATGGGTCAAGAACCTTTTCAGTTCCTGAACAACTTTAAATCAAGCCTATAGTTAAACTTGCGCTTAAGGTTTGCCAACTACACGCTGCATACTTTGCCTGCAAGGAAAATCATGCATTCCTCTATATTCTTTGGAGGTCGTCCTGTAGCATTCGTACACTTTTATAATGCATGTAGTCCACGTTCTATGCTCCATAATTGGAAGTAATAAACAGACAGATACGCTACTGTGTGAACGCACACTTCACGGTCTTTAAAACCTCATAGTTACAAACCCTTGTTAACCGAAAAGCTACCCTTTCTTGAAATGTAAACTTCGGAGACGATGTAATTTTCCACAAACTCAGCACCAAAAGTAATATTTATATTTACATTTTCGATAAAATATACTTAAATTTATATGTGTATAAAAGATTAATGTAAAAATGCACACCACTTGAGTGGTCTGTCTTCCAGGACGTAGTCTTCACAGAAGACCAACAGGGAGCTAATTTAAAACTACAATCTGTTCTGACTGAAATGTCTTGGAATTATACTGCCTTATAATCATTATTACAGATAGATTGAAGTAACTCTACTCGTAAACTCATTTATGGCAACATTTCGTGATAATTTGTATATATGCAGTTTGATGTCGCCGGGGTATTGCATTTGTCCAACACACAAAGTGGACAGTGATTAAATTTTCCTCTCTCTGCTTTAAATCATGGAACTTCATATAGCTTCCGGTTTCGTTTATCCCCCTCGTCTTGTTAGCTGCTCTATCTTTACTCCCGGCAATATTTTGCCTCTCTTTCAGAAACATTGTCTGCACTGTGTACTTGGGCTGCAGATTGGATCTTAAGCAAATTGCTCTCAAGGCCCGAAATGCCGAGTATAATCCCAAGCGTTTTGCTGCCGTTATCATGCGAATTCGGGAACCCCGAACCACAGCGCTAATCTTCTCTTCAGGCAAGATGGTCTGCACCGGAGCGAAAAGCGAGGAGCAGGCTCGTTTGGCAGCCAGAAAATACGCTCGAATTGTACAAAAACTAGGTTTCGAGGTAAGTTTTCCGTTCGGATCAGTGCTGCCTTCTGAGTTCCCTTTCCGAACCCCCATTAGTCTTTATCATCACTACCTGACTCAACGCTCTTTCATGTCTGCGTCCTTTTTAAACTCATGCAAACTCTATAGTGGATAGGTTTTATTGAAGTGATCAGGAGAAATTGAATCCATTACCACTGGTTTATTTGACGTCGTAATTAATTATACCCTAATTCTAGCCTCTGGAATACCTGCGATCTGAAGTCGGCTGCAGGAGCTTATTGAGTCTGACCACCTCCACAAGTTGAACCGCGAGCTCCATCTACTGACTGCGATGTAAATTATCCAAGGTCACATAAAAGTGCCGCTCACTCCACGTGACTTCGTTGATTGTTCATCACAGCTGACAAAAAGTGAGCCTGTGGCTCAACTCGTAGAATGTTAAGATCAATGACGAGACAGCTGCTGGTTAAACTCTCAGTTATTCTCAGCACGGTGTTGGTTATGGCTGTCAGTCGGAGGAAACTAATCCAGAAAATGTTACCCGAAATTCCCTCATCTCTGCTGTTAAAACATATTGATTAGCGACTGATCATCGTTGTTAGGTGTAAAATGGCAAAACGAATTCACCGCATTCCTGCCTGCACCCAGGTCATATTAATGAACGCCGTTCGTACGTGACTTCAAATGTTATTATTTTCCATTTAAGGGCTAGGGTAGTATCTAGCCCACAAATACTGCTTATATTCACAGTCTTTTTAAAACCATAACCTATCCTGACACCCACGTTAATGATATCCCACACAACCTAAATGCAATATCTTCCGTATCTACTGAATTTGGTCCCTGCTTCTAAAAAGACCATTGTCTGCAAAACGTCAAATAATTTATTTCGGTTTGTCTATGAGCTACTCTTCACAAAATTTGGACAAGAATGCTTTTGATTCAACTTACGACTTGTACTTACAGAACCCTTCTGGCTGCTGACATATTTTTTTATCCTATAGAATATAATTGGCAGTTTTACTTGCCCACTTTTTAGGCACACTTCAAAGAATTCAAAATCCAAAATATGGTCGGTTCCTGCGATGTCCGGTTCCACATACGCCTTGAAGGCCTCGGAGTTTCTCATGAGGAATTCGTGACGTACGTGTTTCCTTTACCTCTTTATTTTACAACTTGATTAACCGTAAAGTCATATTTTACTCGTTTTGCATTGTGGCCAATAGCAATTTCGGCTGCAATTACCTGTCAAACAACTCGTTTGCCTGAAAGCTGAGAAGAAAAATCATTGTGCGCCCTTTCCCCTTTTATTTTCTTACAGGGGCCAGTTTTAGTTGCCGTTTCTTTGAACATTTAGATATGAACCAGAAATCTTCCCCGGTCTCATCTACCGCATGGCCAAGCCCAAAATTGTCATCCTTATATTCGTCTCGGGTAAAATCGTGCTCACAGGTAAGTTTTTCTCATTAAACCTGACATCCACTTTCTTATTTGTTACTAAAAAACGCTCTGCATTTTATCCATTCACAATGTTGAATTTCACGGTTACTTTAAGTAGCCTATTTCCCCCCCCCAAAAAAAAGAAGTTTCCATTTTTGCAATGCAATCTATAAATTCATCTTTAGCATCTAGTAGGGATATGCGTTTTTTTGCTAAGAAGATGAAGGCGCGGTCACCGAAGCAGTATGTTCATTTCTCTGAGCCTTTGAACTCATACAGAGACTGCATGGGTTCAACAACATGGGAACATTTTTATAGCTAAGATATGAGGGAGGGAATGTTCTTGGCTAGGCCAGTGTCGCGCCGCCTAGCTTACAGCTTGATGGCGGTGTGTGTTCTTGTCCGGAACCTGGGCCCCGCCACATGGCCG